TGGGGAATCTCGAAACACTTTGATGGCACTTTAAATGCATGGTAAGATTAAACTATCAAAATAAAACTTATTTCCAACTATTTAAAGGATTAAAATTTCATGATTCTATCATACTTCATTATTAGTTACCACTCATAAAAACTTTTACTCTACCTAATCACTTGATGTCAAGATTTCCATCGAATACATCTGATATATTCTCTTATCGTGAACTCATGACCAAGATGATTTCATAAATATGCATAATCACATAAAACAGTTCGCGGACTTCTGAAGATTTTGCGATGCGTGATTCATGCTATTTAATAACAAACTGACGCTTACCGACAATCACTCCTTTGCATCTCGAAATCGAAAAGTCTGTAAACTAATTTGTCAATACTTTCATTTTTCCAACATATATAAATAGAAGTTTCAAAAATATAACGAATTTAAAAAATCTTACAACTGCAAAAGATATACAATAAGTCAATGCAAAGAGTAAATCATCGCAAAAAAAATCATTCCATAAATGAATAAGATTAAAAGAATTCAAAAAGCTGTATTCATTTAGTTGGTAAACATCCACAAAACTCATATCATTCACATTCTAAAATAATAATTTTTCAATAAATCTAATCTGATCAGCCTTCAACAAAGCATGATGAGATATATTTTCGAAAGTATGAAAGCAAAAGAGTACTACCATCATTAGTAAATGATTTACTAACAACAATTTTTTATAATCAATAGCAGAGATTTGTCAACGGGTAAGATAAACAAAAGAGTCTAAATTTTGATGATATGAAAATTTTTTCGGGGTATTCGTTGCAAAACTATTTTCATCGGATGATATTTTGCATTGAATCAATTCATTTTTCTGATGATACTGCTAGAAACTTAATTCTATTTTTCAAAGGAAAATTGACTGTTGCGTATAAAATTCTACATAGATTACTAAATTTTATATAAATATAGCTAGGAATGGTTTCGTGAAATGAATAATTTGATTGGTATCAAAAATCGATATGTTTTCTAAATAGCAATTTGATTGGAATATCTTTTGGTTTATTTCGACATCTGGTCTTTTCGATAAATTTCATTGAATAATCTCTGCCCATTAGTTCATTATTACAGAAAATATCCAAATCATTATATCGGCTTATATCACCAAACAATGTAACAGCCAAATACCGCTTGATCGTATTCACAGTTGCCATCTCTATAAAGAAAATCTACAAATTTCATCAAAAAAATTAAAAAATAAAGAATTGCTTGAGCACTTCGTCTCCTCATAACATAAATAGCAATTTTAATAGCAATAGTCATTTTTTGCAAATAGTAGCACATTATCAAGAGATGTAAATGTTTCAAGTTCACTATGATTCGTTAACAAAGTCTGCTACGATGCTAGACACAAAAGATCAATTCGTTGAATAATTCTTTTATCTTTAAATAAAGAAACTCGAGATACTGCTGGAGTTTCTTATAAAAATTTATTTTATTTTAATAATCGACGTTGGGGTAAAAAATTACATAGATGAAACTTATATATATGTATATATATACTTTTTTAAAAACCTACCGGATAATCTTAAGTAAGGCATTTCAATATCAGAGAATTTGGAAAGCTTATCAGTGCAGAGCTCCACAGCAACTTGTTCATCGCTCCGATGATGCTTGCCCATCAAATCACCAGAACATTCTCTTGTTTCCGAACAACTGTCAACCTGTGGAACCAAAAAAATCCAAAAACAATGAAACGATGATTTCAATGAGTCAGTTCTCAAGGGACAAAAATTACCGCATTTTCATCAATCTCTAACTTTTCCGGAGATCCTTTTTCACTCGGTTCTGTTTTTACCGTTTGTAAAAAAGCATTCTGATTCTCTTCCTCTCGTATTTGCACACCGGGTACAAGTTTATACACTAACTCCTGCATTGTACGATCGAAGCTCACATAATGGGACGGATGACTCTGAATAGAAGTTAATTCATCGTACAAAACTCATCTTTACAAATTGAATACTATATACAATACTATATTAATATACTGCCGGTAAAATTTTCAAGCTTTGAAAAATTTCATATTTTATTTGATTATAACTTAAGGTGAAATTTTTTCGTACGCTAAATATCTATTGGTAATTACTTGAAGTATCACTTAAAAAATTTAACCCCAAAAAATTCAATAATAATGAAATTTAGTATGTTATGTAAGTTTCAAACATATATCGACATATCATTGTATAAATTTGCATCAGATTTTCACTTCACAACACCAAATGTGTTTATTTAAAATAAAAAAATCTCTTGCAACGTGATAAAATGATACTTAGGCTAATTTAGAAAGAAGAACAATCAGTTAATAATCACATGCCTGATGGATGAGATTACTACACTTTGGGCAACAGTTATTGACATTTTCAAAATGCTTCAATAAGCATGATTTGCAAAAGGTATGTAAACAATCAGTAACTGTCGTAGCTTCCACAAAGTACCTAAAAAGATTTATTCAACATTACCTGCATCATCGAAAAGAAGGAACGAAAAGTGATGCGAACTAAATAACTTATCAAAAAGTTTACTGACACCTGTCAACAGATTAATCTTATTCATTTCATATACTACTTAAGAAAACCACGAAAACTTCAGAGAAAACAATAAGAAAAGCTAACCCTTTACATACGGGACACGTTATATGAGGATTAAGTGTTCTTAGTAATATTTTATATTCGTCACCAATTAATGTCGGCTTTCGACTCATTGCTTACTGGAAATTTCCAACGTTCATTAAGAACTGCCTTAAAACAAAATACTTCTTTGCTCGTTCTATATCGTTCTGTAATTTCGAAAAAAAGCAAAGATCATCGGACATTTCCATTGTAATACCCGTTATATCAAGCAGGAGGAAAATTATGCATACCGACAAAAAGACAATGTACGTGAATAGATTAAATACAAGTCGGAAAATATGTAAAATATTCCTCAGGATCACACCTCCGATTTTTTCTTATTATAATTACGGACATAGCGCCCAAGATAATAAGGAAGAAATTTCAGCTTCCTCTGATTATTAAAAGATGTAGACATACTGTATCGCTAACAGCTTCTTGACAAATAATACATCAAAATATCTCACCTCATATTTCAGCATGCATCGAATTCGCATATAAGTCTGAAGTATTCATGTTATTGCAATAATAAACAGTAAATGTATCATCAGCAAGGGAAACATTTTGAAATTAATATACTTGATTATTATGACATAGACAGTTATTCTGTACAAAGAATGGCAGAGATGAAAGAATTTTATTAGTGAGAACACAACAGAATGAATCAAAAAGGTCTACAGAATGAATCAAAAAGGTCAACGCATAGAATTGCGAAATCACATTATTTATAGAACTGCCATCTAATGAATAAACAAATAAAAATATATTTTGCATTATATTAGATGTGTTTTCACATCTCCGAAAGTAAACATTCACGTTTTTCAAAGATTTTAAGTTCCACTTGAGAACTTTACTTTTATAAAAAAGACTTTCGCTTGAAACTGAAAGTAACTACTATTGAGGGATAATAAAAATTAAGTGACAAATAAGTAAGAAATTACTGACTTTGAATATTACCAAGACAATATTTCAAAGACGTAATTTTATAAATGTGTCGAATCACCGATGTGCAAGAATCATAACTATATATTTTCCGAACAGTCAATAATCTTAACGCAGCATTTCACCAGATTTACTAGTTGAATTTGATACATTCGGTTGCGGTGACTGCTGACACTTCGCCACAATTCCAAATTGTTGACCGTTTCCCCTAAACAAAAAAAAGATTAATTCGCACCATAAGCTATATTAGTAATATACTAACATGATTAAATTCATCATTAAAGAGAGCATACAAGCTAATATAAAAAATTACCATTTATTGACTGGAATGAATTAAGAAAATCTTAAGTGATCGAAAATCAATTTCAAAATATTCCAAATAATCAGTTATATATCCAATCCAGTCATTAGAAAAAAATTGAGTTAGAGAAGTAAGAAAGTGAATAGATTTACTTGGCTTCTTTTTCATCTTTTTCTCGTTGTTCGTGAGCAAGATATGCCGTGTTTGACAGGAATGCCAACAATCCTTTATGGCATCGATTTGCGTAATGACCTTTTTCACCACACTGAAAAATACGATCAGTAATAATACAAATCAGTATGGATATATTAACATATTTTTACAAAAATGAAACTGCATTACCCGTCAAGAAAAGGAACTTAATACATTGCTTATCATCATTTATTTTCTGGAAACAAATTTCACTCACATAAGCTTAAAACAGTAAATTAAAAAAAAGTAGAAATACGTCTGCAGCAAAAAATAAAACAAGCTAAATAGAAAATTGAAGAAAAATACGATGAATTCAATAAGAAAAAAAAAATGATTGAGATAAATTCTAATTATCTTTTGAATTTCACTTGCCTTATAACACGTTACATCTGAAAGCGCTTTTTTCTCGGAAAGAGCTACCAATTCTTGTGATATCTGCGCATTCACTTTCGATGAATCTAACAACGGTAATTGCGTTTGAGTAGGTAAATGAGGACAGTATGTCGCCTAAAAATGTTTGCTTGCAAACAATACATTAGTTAAGTAATAAAAGATTAGAGACATGTGAGTCTATCTTACTGCACCTGAGAAATGCACATTTACTAAATAAGAGTATAAAAATGTGTCCCAAATCATACACCAATACCAAAATCAAATTGAAAAGAAACATAAATTAAAAATTGAAATTGAAAATCATATTTAGTTAAAACCTTGTGGCCTCTTTCATGACAATTGTGACATACTATTCCAATGTTATATTGTCCTCGTGCTCGAAGAATTTGAGTCGTGTCTACAGGTGGAATATTGAAAGAAGGATGAGCATATTTACAATCCCCTCCGTCTGGACAAAAGCCTGCCAAATAATTAGGACAAAGGACACGTCGGCGATGTCGATGCTTACAAAACGGGCCTGAAATAATGTAAATGAAATCAACATTCCTTACATTCCATCCTCTAAAAGAATACGCATATTTTGAAAAAGAATCACTTACCATGTCGACAGAATCCACGATCGTACCACGGACAATCTTTGATTTTACTTTCGGGATCAATATGTCGAAAAGGACACTCACGATTACTGCAAGCCACTGAAAATGAAATAAAAAGTGAGAACGGTCATAAAAATTTATTTTAACCCTTATTCAAATATTTCTCCGCATTCAACTGCTTTAATTTTAACGAAATTTACTTGTCGGCACTTTCTTAACTTGCAAAAATTAATAAAACAATGAGTGAATTGAAGAAACTATCCCAAAATACTTGCAACAAATGAAAAAACGAAAACCTACTGTATTTCGAGAAAAAAAAACATTCCGGCATTTTACTTAAATCGTATTCATGCAAGAATTCGCATTGGTCGCCTTTTTTACATAGTCCACGTAACCAGTGTTTACAAACCACAGCCTACAAAAAAAAAACTTTTTTTGATAAAGTAATAATAGTAAGATAGAAATATTTGTAGGATAAAAGAAGCATAAGTTATAACAATATCATGCCTTATCTCCAACAATATGCCTCAATGGGCAAACAGCTCCCATTGTACATGTACCCTGTTCATTACGTATACATACACCACGACCACTTTTGTCCATTCCAGGAAATGGAGCCTGAAATTCCTTAATCTGATAAACCTGATAAAAGTTATTTGCAATATTAAATAGAGATAAATCTCAATGAAGCAAAAAATTCCTTGTGAAATAATTGAACTTTTCTGTTTAATTCAGCAAGCAACTCCATATATAATGGAATAAACAAAGAACCTCTCTGGCTCCACGTTGCTGCAACAACATTTCCTCGACATCCAGTAAGGCACATGATATCCCGGACATGTAATCTTCCATTGTAAGTGGAGTACTACCAAATGGTGAGTAATGATGGTAAGCTGTCGCTGTCATTGCTGCCATTTTGTACTCCTCTTATTTCAAATAGCCTGTAAAAATATACATAACAACATCTGATGATATAATTTCATCTCTCTAACTAACGCTTTAAAAAAACTAACGCTTTGTTTCTGAAAAGTTTAGTATAAGTATAAGATAGTTTACACCCAGTACTAAAGAAATTTATAACAGATAATATCAGCATTTGGTCTTCCATCGGAAGAACTAATAATTCAGATTCCTTGAATTCTTTCTTCTTCTGCATGATCATTTCATGCACTCTATTCCTATATCTCTTTTTTATCGTCGTAAAATTCGATTATCTTCTTTATAATATATGACCATCATACTTTTAACCATAGCAACTTGAAAGATAATGATTTCCAGATAAGTGAAGAGTCATTTTGACAAAATACAATGTAAAACAACGAGAAGTTGACTATTTACAAGTGCTATATGCTTGAGTGTTGCAATGTTTGTTGCGTTAGCAGTGTTCGTCTAGACCGTTCATACACCACGCAAGAAGAAAAAAAAATCAAAGATACGGCTAATCTTACGCGGAGAACGCCGAACCACGTCGGAAACAACGTATCAAAGATTCCCAGCCATACTCTCAAATTAACAACCAGAAGACTATCTATGAAAAGCTTTCCGTCTCAGCATTTTCGAAAATACAGGGATAATTTAAATGATAGAATGAATTAGCAAATCATGGTCTATCACTTGAAGTATAAGCATACCTATAAGCACAAATAATCGTCTATACTTAAAGTATAAGCATATAGCGGAATCTAAATGTCATTATTACTTTTTACGCTATAACTTTCTCAATAATATCTCCCATACAATTTGTGCAAGAGATTTTTTGCATATTAAAATCGAGATATTCATGGAAACCATTCAATCCAATCTTAGATCCACAAATAGTATCATTAATGAAGACCGAAGATTTGGTAGGTAAATGCTAGCCCTACCTATCTTGAACTTAAGGTACAAGAAATATCCTCATGATTTTACTTCATACAGCAACTGCTTTCCAACTTCTCAATTCTCTTCTCCAGAATTACATTACCGGGAGCAGTTTCAGTATGTTTCTTTTAAAATTATTAGATCCTGTGTAACATCCAAAAAATTTGTACAAATCTTTTATTTAATCTAATTATTTATAACATATTTGCGCAGAATTTTTGAAAACGATTTCAACTGATCCTGTAAAATCATTTATATTTACAGATTTTGAATATGCTTAACAGTTAACAAATCATAAATAATTAAGCATGAACTCACATTCAAGAAATTAAAAATTAATACAAAAGCAGTATAATAACTCAGTGTTACACCAGAAAGAAATATGTACTCGTAGCTAAACAAACGAATAACACCCAAACTGGTAAAAAAAATGATTTCACGAAAATAGTAAAAGAGATTAATTCTCATGCACAACAATAAAATGTGAATCCAATGCAGGAAAGAGAAAAATCATTGAGGTTATAATATTTTATTAAAAACGGAATTTTTTTCTGAATTCAAAATGCACTTGAAATAGCAATATTCACTCGAAAATGAACACATATATATATATGTTATTATCGTTGTAAATTAAATATATATCAAAAAAGTCTATACTCAAATCACTTTCTTGAGACAAAATGTCTATTTGGCATTAAATTTTTACATTTTAGACAATTCAACGAAAAATATTTTGGAAAGTAAAAAATTTTACAAATTTATATACATTTTTAAAAACATCAAGAAAAAACAATGGGTATCATGAATAGCAGTAAGCTTTAGAAAAAATAGATAATTCACAAAAATAAACTTTTCAAAATGGAATAGCAATCAAGTACAAAAAAAGAAATACAGTTTCATTTCGCTTCAAATTTTTTAAAGATTAAAACCTGTAATTTATTATAAAATGCTTACAAAATACATTTGTGAAGCAAAACTGGATGGCTTAGAAAACTAAATTTTACTTGGATATTCAAACACGTGTTACGCCTTTTGCCCATGCACACGAAAACGATACAAACATGTGTAGTTTGAACCCCAGTTTGACTGCACCACCAATTCGACTATTGATACTGACGTATTAAGCTCGTTCTGAAAAAAATATGTTTTGATACAGGGAGATTGGAAAGCATAAGTTAATACCACATTTCATGCTTATTATTACATGATACCTTTTATCGCTCTTTTTAAATGTTGAATTCTCTCATTTTCAACAAAATAATTAT